CACATAATCTTTTTTGTTGTAAGTGGAGCTAGAGGATGCCTTGCTTCCAGTCTTGGGCTCAGCACCCAGAGCTGTCTGGCTGGGTTTACCCGCGGGGCAGTGGGCATTTCCTGCATCTAGGGACTGCAGAGCATGTGGGTGGGAGCTCCCGGGCTCAGAAAGCCCGACTGGTTGGTTCCAGCCTGGGCATGTGGCCCTCGCTCCCTGGCAGGAGTTACACGAAGAGGTATTTTTGGAAGGTGCAGGAATTCTGTAGCCATTTGGAAAATGCCTGCTCATAGGCTAGGCTGGATTTTCATTTTAAAATGCTGATGTGGCCGAGGGGCCTGACCTGGCCACTTTTCCTGTATCTAGGGAAAGTGCAGAGGCATGCTCTTTTCTTTTCCTTTTCTTTAAATTGTATCACCATTTTCTTTCTGTCTCAAATCCCTCTGTTCCACAAGCTTCAAGAGCACTGTGAGGTGTCACCTGGGACTTTGATGCTATTTGTAGGTAAGTGTCTCATTTTATCCTACGTCAGCCAGGACTTGGGAGTCACTTTAGGTTGGGCCAAAATTTAACTTAACCCTCAATTTTCCAATAAGGATCTTGCCTCTGGAGCCCTCACCCTGTCTCTCTGCGCACCTAGGCAGGACCCTGAGTGCCTTTCAATTCTCTTCCCCATGTCCCTTTGCTTTGCCTTTCTTGACAGCTGCAGCTTTTGCCATTTCTATCTCTATTCATTCACTCATCCATTCACTTAACGTACACTAGGCCCTGTGCTGAGAGCAGGACGGAGGGTCGGGCAGACACAGTCACCTTCTGTCATTACCATTTCTTCCCTTTGCTTTGAGACCTGCCTTTGTCCCCACTTCTCCACTCCCCACACTTCTCCCGCAGCCACGTGTGTGTGCTCTCTGAAAGATCTCTGCTCCTTCACTTGGAAACATAACCTGTCTTCTCCATTTTCCGTTTCCAAGCCCCCTGCTCCTGACTCATTTCCAGCTCCCTTGGACTGGAACAGAGAATAAAAATTAAAAATTAGGACCTGGCATGATTCTCTTCCCCACATCTGAGGGCCTCTCCCCACTTCCACCGCTCACCTCTGCCACCATCCTCGGTCCACGCCACATTCTGGAATGGCGATGCCATGAAAGGAGATTTGCTGCACCAAAACCCAAATCAAAGCCAACCTATCCCCCAGGTAAAAGCAGTGGAGGGCTGTGCTGCCTCCTTAGTTCTCCTCCAAGCTGGAATGTTCCTTGATGTGTTGACCAGACTTTCCTTCCCGGAGGTGAAATACTGTGGTCCTTACCCTGGACCAGGCCTTCCTGGGAGACAAATCCTGAGGTGGGAGCTGTGCGAGGCTGGCTTTAGGGGGGCAGTGGCTTCCAGGCTGTCCCTGGGGTGTCAGCAACCGCTTGCCCCCTCCTCTCTTTCCTTGGGCCTGTGGGGGCTGCCTAGGCTGTTTGGAGGAAACAAGCCCGAGTCCTTTGAATTGCCCCTTGATGGCACCAGGGATAAAGCTGTTTGTGCCCTCAGTGAGGTTTTCAGAGCCTGAGCAGATCACCTGGAAGAGGTAAGGCTGGGGAGGAAAGTCCCACGCTCACACTATGTGTCCTGAATAGGTGGCTTATTAAATCACAGAGCCCCATAACATGTTATGTAGAGGGATTCATATAGGCTTGAATGGTGAGTTTTGCAGAAGAGAGGGTTTGTTTTTTTAATTCTGAATTTGTTTTAAACAGGTAAGCCAAGTACAGGACACAAACTTTCAAAAAGTGCCTGAGTATACAGATATGGTTAAAAAAAAAATAAGTCTCTTTCCCACTCCTGTCCCCAAGCTCTTCAGTTTTCCATCCAGAATCAGCCACTGCTCCAGTTCACGGTGCATCCTTCTAGCGATCCTTTCTCAGAACCACAATTATGTGTGTGGGGGTAGGTGGGCGTGTGTTCTCACAAAAATGCAAACAGGTAAATTATATACACCGTTTTTAACTTTGTTCTTTTCACTTAAGAGTGTATTTTGGAGTCTTTTTTCTTAACATATACTGTATGGTTTGGGGGTAGATTTAGAAAGCAGAAAAAACTTTTCCCAAATGACTCTGAGCTTTGCTTCGCTTCAAGCAGCTCCTTGCTTCTGGCTGCCTTTTATAGTGTGGCCCCTGGGCCACCTAAAGCTGTCCTGCTCTGGGAGACATCCTGCCAGGGGGATGACAGGAAGGGGGCCCACCTCCCTGCCAGACTCCACCGAATTGATTTGTGTCCTCTCTTCTTCCTGGATCCCCACATCTGGGACTTGCTCTCATGGTTTACTAGGTGAGACACAAGCTCCAGCCCCTCACCTGGGTACTCAGTTGTTGTTGTTTTCAGGTCTTGTAGTTGGATGAAGTATTTGGGGGGCAGCAAGAAGAACATGTCAGTTGCAATTCTGTTTTGCAGAGGAGAGGGGCTGGCAGTGGTTTCAGGTCACGGTGAGCATTTTTCCTGAAGAGTCTGGAACGCAGGAAGTGGAATGGGACATAGCTCTCAACATTAAAAGGCCAGTTAAATGACTTTGGGGGCAGCCCTTGGGTTTTTCTATAATCACTTTGTAGAACTATCTCCTTCCTTCTCTTTCTCTTGCTCTAGGCCTGCTGATCTTGCTCATTTTCTTTTGATGAACTTTGTGATCCTAGTGGTCTATTTCTTCTGCCCCAAAGCAGCTTGGGACAAATCAGACCATCTTCTTCATTTGATTTAGACGGTCCAAAGAAATTCATCATGCTGGGTATTTGTTTAAATCTTCTCAGATCATATTGCTTACAAGATTTTGCTAACTGAATAAAGAAAAAACAAAGTTAGATGTACTGATCTCTTGTTCTTAGAGAGGCACCAGAGCCAGGGGCTTTCAGAGGTTTGTTGTCTCTCTTTTTTTTTTTTTTGAAAAGATAAAAATATTTTGGGGCACCGCTCTGGCTCATTTGGTAGAGCATGCGACTCTGGATCTCGGGGTCAGGAGTTCGAGCCCACGCTGGTGTACAGATTACTTAAAAGTAAAATCTTAAAAAAACAGTAACAGCTTTATTGAGATATAACTCATATGCCACACAATTCCCTTATTTAAAGTACACAATCCAATGGTTTTTAATATATGCACAAAACTGTGTAACCATCACACAATCAATTTTAGGACATTTTCATCAATCAACCCTAAAGGAAACCCCATATTCATTAGCAGTCACTTCCCATTTTCCGCAATCCCCTCAGCCCAAGGCATCTACTAGTCTACTTGCTGTCTCTATGGATTTGCTTATTTCGAACATTTTATATAAATGGGCTTACACAGTATAGGGTCTTTTGTGACTATTTTCTTTTACTTAGTGTAGTATTTTCAGTATTACAGTCCACACTGTAGAGTTGTCAGAACTTCATTCCTTTTCATGGATGACTAGTATTTCATCCTACGGATATACCGAGTTGTGTTAAACCGTTGATGGACATCAACGTTATTCTCGTGTCATTGGTTATCACGGAGGCTGCTGTGGGCATTCGGGGAAAGTTCCTGGGCGGAGCTCACTCAGATGACTGTAGGTCTCATTCTGCAGATGATGAAACAACCCAGTGTGGCTGACAGGAAATGTGCCTCCTGGACATTCAGGGGTTCGATTCCGGAGCCCGAACTTTTGCTGTCTGTGCTCTGTCCACCAAGGAGAGGAGCTGACGCAACCAAGGCTTTTACCTGAGGGACACATGGAGTCCACTGACGGGGAAAGTGCGCTCTGGATTTCAAAGGCGCAGAAGCCCAGGCTTACAAAGGCAAAAGCTACAAGGGCACATCGTTTGCTTTAAAATAGTCAGGATTGGCGGGGCGCCTGGTGGCTCAGCGGGTTAAAGCCTCTGCCTTCGGCTCAGGTCATGATCTCAGGGTCCAGGGATCGAGCCCCGCATCTTCGGGGTCTCTGCTCGGCGGGGAGCCTGCTTCACTCTCTCTCTGCCTGCCTCTCTGCCTGCTCGTGGTCTCTCTCTGCCAGATAAATACGTAAAATCTTCAAGAGAAACACTCAGGATCGCCGCTGCCCACCTTCCACTTGCTGACACGTGGCTGCTTCGCCGCGGGGGCCGACCTCCTCTGTCTCCGCCCGCGGAAGGTTGACGGGAGACGCCGCTGAAACCAACCCGCTGCCCCCGACAGGAGCCGAAGGTTCCGCCGACGAACGCGTCCGAGGTGTCCCCGGGGCCGGACGCTGCCCTGCTGCCTCAGCGCGACTCCAGCGATGGCGCGAGCGCGTCCCTCACAGAACCCCCTCACAGGCCGCCGCGCCCCCGCCGCCGCGACAGGCCAGCCGAGGCCACGCCGGTGGGAGGGACTCGGTTACCGGCGCTCTCTGCCGTCCCTCCCAGCGTCTCCCCCCGCTTTTCTCGCATCCCCGCGTCACTTCTTCCTTCAGGCATCGGCACCCGGCCCTGCGGCGGGGTCGACGGTCGCTCGCCCTGTCCGTGCGGGACGCAGCGCTGCGTGACTGCTGTGGGCTCCGAGCTCCCTCCGGAGAGCGAGGTTACGCCGGCCGCGGCCGGAGAGGTGGTCCTCGAAGCCACGCTCCCTGGAGGAGCTCCTTTTCCCGGAGCGCGCCCGGCTTTCCCGGATGAGCGCTGCCCGCGCCGGGATGAGGCGCCGTTGACCGCGCCCCCAACCCCGCTCCCGGCCAGCGAGGACAGAGGCGCCGTCGCTAGGGCAACGCGCACTGCGGGCAGGCCGCGGCTCCTGGGCCTCGCGGGGAGCGCGCACGCGCAGGGACGCAGGCACGCTCTCCGGCCGCGACGTCCGACCCCTCCCGCCCCTTAACGCGCGCCAGACCCGGCGCCGTGCCGAATGCCGTCTCCCGCGGGCGGCAGCTAGCGAGAACCACCAATCAGAGGAGCCGACACATCGGCCGGGCCGGGCGGGCAGGAACCAATCGCTGCATCCGTGTGATCCCGGGCCCGCCCGCGAGGCTGGCGGCCGGCGCTGAGGCGGCGACCGCGGGAGTCGCTGCTGAGGCAGCCGCGGGCGCGGGTCGCGTCGGCGCTGCTCCGGGGGGCCGGGCTGGGCTGGCTGCCGCTGGCGCCTGGCGGTGAGGGTGGGCTCCCGGGGCGGGCGGAATGGCCCCCGCCCAGGGCACTGGGAGCAGCGGCTGAGCGCAGGATGCTGCGGAGGCGGCGCGGCGGCTCCTCACTAGTCCCAGGTAAGGGGGCTCCGCGCTGGCCGTGGCCCGGCTGGGAGCGCCGCCCCGGCCCCGCCGCCGCCGCCCACCTGGCTCCGGGCCCGGCCGACTCCGTTCTGGCATCCCTTGGCCCCGCGTGCCCTCCTGCGCGCACGTCCCCTCGTCCGCCCCGGGGCAGCTGTGCAGCCCCGCCCGCGAGCGCGGCGCCCCTCGCCCCGGGCGGCTGTGCGCCCACGGCCGCTCCCCTTCCCGCGCGCCTGCGTTTCCCGGCCTCCGCCTGGCCGCCGCGGCGCGAGCCCCCTCCCCGCTCATCCCCGCCCCTCCCCTCTTTCCGCTCCCCGCTCGGTCCGCTCCCCTTCCGGGGCGCCGGCAAGGGTCCCCAGCCCCTGCAGCCCTTCGGGGCGCCTTCCGGGGCCGGGACCCCCGTCCTCCCGGCCCATCCCATGGGGATCGGACCGGACGGCTGTCCGCGCTGCACCTGGGCTTCTCCGCAGAATCTCCCGCATCCCTGCCCTCGGAGCCGCATCCTCCGCAGCTTCGTCGTCCCCGCGCCCATGTCCCGGGGTTTTGCCCTCTCGCTCCCCGCTGCCTTCCTGACCCAGCGCGCCTCTTCCCCGCTCGCGGTCGGCAGGCGCTTCTTTCCCTTTACGCGCAACCTTCGGACGCCCCGAAGCGCTCCGGGGCCCGATCTGCGGTCTTTCCCGGAGGCGCGCGGACCGCGGCGAGGCGGCCGGCGCGGGGCCTGGCACACAGTAGGCCCGCCGCGCGGGGTGCCTGTGCGCGGTCGCCTGCCCCTCCTCCCCGGTCTCCGCGCTTGGCATGGGGCCGCGAGAGGGCCGGGCCCGGAGGGGTCCGACCCGCCGTCGGGAGAGCGCAGGGAGCCGGCCGGACACGCTGTCGCGCTCCCGAGTGGGGCAGACGGATTAAATGGCCCGTTTTTACTCAGTGAATTCGTTCACAGAAAACCCTGAGTTTAGCTTTTTTTTTTTTTTTTTTTTTTTGGTCAAATAGTGTTTTATGTTTATTGGCTTTGTAGAAGATTCCTAGGGAGCTTCGCGGTGTGATTGTCCCCCCGCCCCCCACCCCGCCGCGTTCTCTCACAGTGACGCTGTGTGCGCGAAGCGCTTCCCTCGTTCACTTCTGCGCGGGGTCCGGCCCTGCCGGGAGTTTTCCTCCCTGAAGAGCCTGCGGGAACCGCTGTGGAGTTCTCAGAATTGGCTCTGGAGGGATCACGAACGCTGGGGAGTGAGAGTTCCAGCAAGTTCTGTGAGAGCGGGCGAGCCCTTACCCCGCCTTTCCCCACACGTTCTGGCGAGCAGAGCAAGTGGCTGCATTTTTTTTTTTTTTTAAAGTGAAATAAATTTTACTTTTCACAGTGATGAAAGCGGTGTTACCGGCGTGAACCCGCGCTTGCCACGTTGGCTTTAGTGGTCTACAAACCAGCGTGACTCCAACAGCGGCTTTTTCTCCTGGGGTCTCCAGAGCAGACTGGAGAAGGTCGTGTCACCGCCGGTGCTGTCCGCGCGTCTGGATTCTGCCTTTTCTCAGACTGGCGGGAGGCCCTTTGATTCGCCTCCTGGGACGGTCTTAGGCACTAAAACCTGAATGGCTTTTTACAGACTTTGTCACTCTCCTCTCTTTGTCCTACTCTTGATGTTTCTTCATTGCTTTTTTCACAATAAGCAGAAAATTCACGGAAGCAATAGGTGGTCTTTAGCCCTGAACGAGTAAGGGTCTGTCATTTTACCGTGTGCCTGTGCCTAATTTCTGATCTCCTTTTCTTTCATCAGAAGAAGACGTGTCCTTGCTGAGGCTAACATCTTTGATCTCTCTGTTCTCATTTTTTCTCATTCTGTGTACATGGTCAGGTTTACATCTTCCAAAACAAAAATAAAAACCTCTTGATGCTTCCCTCTTTTATTTTCTCTGATTAATGGGATCTTCCTTAGAGTTGGAGTTTTTGTTCTTTTTTCTGTTCTCTAATTCCCTTGTGTGATTATACTTCCTCTCAGGGCTTCAAATAGTACCTGTATATTTAGGGTTTTCTAAGATGTGTATTTGGTCCCCGTTTTTCTTGAGTTTCAAGTGTTCTTTATTTTCATGCATCTTTTGGACAACCAGACTTGGATACTGAGTACTCCAAACTTGGTTTGCTTTTTCTTTCCCTTCCCTCTACTCACATAGCCCCCCCTCAAGTACGTATAAACACTCCTTGTCCTATTTTAGGCCTTCACTCTAGAAACTGTAGAATCTTCTTCTGTCCTTACAGTAAGTCTGTCATTGCTCATATTTTTTCTACCTGAAATCTTTTTCTCCGCCAGAAGATTGGTTGAGGCCTGGGTGGTTTTTCCTGAGCAGACATGGTCATATCCAACCCCAGCACCCACCCCTCCCTCCCTCCCTCCCTTCCTTCCTTCCCTCCTTCCTTCATTTACTTAAGCACTACTTTAAAACCACCTTAGGGAGCCTTTAAAGGTTAAGGATGAGGGGATGAATGCTTCCACACAGACTGATTCAGTTGGTTTGGTGTGGTGCCAGATCTTGTCATTTAAAAAATGTTTCCTTGGGCACCTGGGTGACTCAGTCAGTTAAGTGTCTGTCATCAGCTCCTGTCATGATCTTGGGGTCCTGGGATCGAGCCCCATGTTGGGCTCCTAGGGAGTCGCCTCTTCTCCTCCCCCTCCACTCGTTCTCTCTCTCCTTCTCTCTCTCAAATGAATCTTAAAAAAAAAAATAAAAAATCAAAAACATGATCCCTATGTGTTGGTAAAATGCAGCTAGGGCTGAGAACTGGGCTGAGAGCTTGAGGAGGGACTGATAGAACCCTGAGGAATTATGGTATTTAACTCATTTAAAAATTAGGATAGGGGCGCCTGGGTGGCTCAGTGGGTTAAGACCTCTGCCTTCGGCTCAGGTCATGGTCTCAGGGTCCTGGGATCGAGCCCCGCATCGGACTCTCTGCTCCGCGCGGAGCCTGCTTCCTCCCCTCTCTCTCTCTGCCTGCCTCTCTGCCTACTTGTGAACTCTCTCTCTGTCAAATAAATAAAATCTTAAAAAAAAAATAGGATAAATGTTATCTTGTTGGCATGGTTAGTTGCTTACTTTCCTGGTACTTGGTACGTGTACCTGTTAAAGTACATACCATTTTATTTAAATTATTTCTCAAGAGCCAATTTTTGTCACGACTAGGAATTCCTTGAGGTCTGGGACCACGTATGCTATTTCTTCTGCACTGCTCACGACCCTTCTGACAGCAAATGTGGGCTGTCCCCTTACAGTTCTCCAACTGTCCAGACACCTATTGGGTGTCCTGCAGTTTAACCCAGTTATGACACCACCTATCTGGAGTAAGTGCAGACTCCACAGATGAAGAATTTAGCCCCGCCCACCTCCTCCAGACCCCACTGCTGTGCCAGTTGCAAGTCCCTGTTCTGACCTGTACTTCTGACCAACTGGCTATAAATTGGGGCTTTCCACAACCCGCCCCTCAGGTCAATAATTTGCTGTAATGACACAGAACTCCGGAAAGCTCTTCACTTAGCCATTACCTGCTTATTATAAAGGGTATAACTCTGAAACAGCAAATGGAAGAGATGCCTAGGGCAGAGTATGTGGGAAGGGGCATGGAGCTTCCCTGAGCTTCCTTGCTTTCCGGGGGGGCACCATCCTCCTGGCATCCCCATGTGTTCGCCAACCCAGAAGCTCTCTGAATCCCTTCAGTTAGGGTTTTTATGGAGGCTTCATTGTGTAGGCATAATCATTGGTTGATGGTGATAAACTCAATCAGCAGCCCTTTTCCTCTATCCTGAGGTCAGGGATTGGTTCTTCTGGCATCCAGTCTCCATCCTCCAAGATAGGGTTGAAAGGGGCTTATTATCAATAACAAAAGATGATCCTCTCACCCATCAAGAAATTGCAAGGGTTTTAGGAGCTCTGGGTCGGGAGCCAGGGATGAAGACCTAGTTTATATTCTATGATAATTCTTGCATCACAATATTATAATACCTTATTTTTTTGTCACTGCCTTGTACAGTACTTAGCATATTTTAAAAACTTGATAAAAATTAGTTGAATGAATCAGTTGGTAAATAATGTAGAACAGATCTTGAATTCATAGTTTTGCAAGATGACCATCTGTTTCTTGGCTGATTAACAGGTCACTAGTCATACTTGGATAGTCATTCTTGTTTAAAAAAACACACACTTGTAATAAATTAGTTTGGATTAAGATAAATAATATTTGCTCTTATGATTTGGCTTTTAACATGGCTAAGCTGTTGCATGATTATAGAAGTTCATTCAGACCTCGTCTTCAGTAGATGGTATTTAAAGTCGACTTTACGGATGGTTGAGACATATGTATCTTCCATTTTTTTTAAACAAATAGCTCTGAAGTTAGACTTACAAGCTTTGGAATTTTCAAGTAGAACAACCTGTCAGATTGATAAAAGATCTTGAACATTGGCAGAACTACTTCTTTTTAAGAGAATTAAGAAAATAGGGAATATGTATTAAGCCATCTACATATATGAATCTCATTGATGTTGGTGTTGGTGAGGAGGAAATTTGTAATTCCCAAATATTTAATTACTGTTATACGAAGAACCTATAATTGCTCATATAATGGTACCATATACTTTTTAATAAGTTAGAATTAAGATATAAACTGTAGAGTTGTCTTCTTGTGTGTTCTTTAGTTTTCTTAATATTTTTGTCAGTCTTTATAGAATTTGTGGTTCATGGTTCCTTACTTTTTATTTTTATTTTTTAAAGATTTTATTTATTTGTTTGATGGGGGGGAGAGAGAGCACAGGTAGGCAGAGCAGCAGGCAGAGGGAGAGGGAGAAGCAGGCTCCCCAGTGAGCAGGGAGCTGGATGCAGGACTCAATCCTAGCACCCTGGGATCATGACCTGAGCCGAAGGCAGTTGCTTAAACAACTGAGGCGCCCAGGCACCCAGTTCCTTACTTTTTAATGTTTGAAAATGTTGTGCTGCCTTTTTCAGACCTCCATGATTTTAGG